GTTGAAAAAAGTAGGTCAAGTTAGAGCAGAGAAAATAAATGATAGTCACAAAAAAATATCTTCTCGGCTTTGCATCGAAGCTAAAACTTAAAATATAGTAAAATAATTTTAATACGAATAAGAAATTTCGTCTTACAAGTGGCGACTAAAATTAAGGGATCCTTGATATTTATTGAAGTTATTGAATCTAAATGAAATAAAAATCAAAGCAAACTAACTTAAAAAGAATTAAGAAAAAATATAAAAAATTCATTGCCATACGCGGGTTGGAACCTCGTACCCCAAGCGTGTAAAACATAAGTTTTACCAACTCGGCAACCGTACGTCGCTACTGTCTGTTGAAAAAATTGGCTATTTAAGCTAGTTCAAATTTCAAAGTTATTTTTTTCGACTTAAAAGAAACAAACAAATTTAAATAAGTTTAACTATCTATACTATATCAATTTTAATTTATATAATATTTATGAAAATCTGTACTCCCCTTGTCAGGTATTTTAAAATAAAATAAAATACAAAACCCAGAATTTTAACACAAAAATAGCATATTTTTGCATACGGTAGTCATTTTTACCATGAAGACAAATCCAGAGGTCAAATTTTTTTTTTTCACATTAAAGTATATTACATAAGCTTTAATTTAAGATATATTTAAAAGTGTCAGTATTTCCGGAATACTTTCAAAAATTAAATTGAAAATATCGCAGTTTGAATACACATGTTTAAAGTTTTTCCCCCCCTTGTTAAAGGGATATGATCCGATTTACAAAAAAAGCGTGCCAGATGAAAGGGGTATATAAATATTTATTATAAAAAAATAATAATATAGATCCATACATTTTTCCAAAAGTTATATAAAATATAAATTAAATAATATAACATATAAAATCGAGATTTTTTTCACGGAAATCGTACGTTTTTCTTTAACTTTGATGTCCGTTTTCACCACGAAGACAAGTCCAGAGGTCAAATTTTTTTTTTTCAAATTAAAGTATATTACATTAGCTTTAATTTAAGGTATATATAAAATTGTCAGTCTTTCCGGAACATTTTCAAAAGTTAAGTTGAAAAAGTTAATTTTTTGTAAAAAAGTTACCATTTTGAAACCCCATCCTTTGGGCTGTTAAAGGGTCAAATGTTCACAAAAATATATAAAATGATAGGTAATTATCTAAGGTATCTATAAAAAAAAAAATTATATTGATTCGGTCATTTTTAAAAAAGTTATGGCAATTTTAAGTAAAAAAAAATGAAAAAATATCGAAAATTAGCGATTTTTAAATTTGTAATTTTTTGGGGGATTTCCCCCGTTTACGAGGAACGAGGGATTTTTTTTCAATTTTTGAGGGTAATGTCTTCAACTAGATACGATTTGTGATATTTTGACATATTTTTCATCAAAATCGGTTCAGTGAGAACTGAGATTGAGTGTATACAGACACAAAAAAAAAACACATCATAGTAAAATTAATACCTTCTCAGCTTCGCATCGAAGCTAAAAAAATATATATAAATATACTGAAAAGTTAATTTCACGTAAAGAGCATTTTAATCTAGCTATGAGATAAACTGTTGCATACAATTAATTTTTTTTATAAAAAAATATATCTAATTATTTGGGATATTTTTCATGTCCTTAGTATGGACATATTTTTACAAAGTTTATTAGGATTCCATTTAACTCTGTAAGAATATGACTCTTACATTCGTTAAATTGTTGTTGTAACATTAAATTTAAATTTATTAATATTAAATGTTAAATATTAGATATTAAATTTTATAAACATCAACTTTTTGCCGATGTTCTCAAACTGTATTATACTATATCTCGTATAGAAGATTGCCATTTATTACAAGAAGATTTAAATAGGCTCTCCATTTTGTGAAAAAAAAATTGTCTAAACCTAAATGTAAAGAAATGCTCTAAAGTGTCATTCCATAGAAATAAATCTAAAATTGTATAATAAATTATATAAAATTATATAATCGTACAACGGCCTCACATACAAAAGTTTGAAAGAGTGCAAAGAATATTTATTCGTTTTATAGGTTTTAAACAAAGATCAATTCTACAATTAATCTAAAACTTGATCTACTTTTAGCTCGTCGCAATATGTCAGACATATCCTTCTTATTTAAAGTAATTAATTGTATCATCTTCTGCCTTCCTTTTCTGGATCGTATATCATTTCATGTACCGCAATACAATACACGGTCATGTCCTACATTTAATATTAAATCATACCTCAGAAACTATGGTAAAAATAATCCACTTAATAGAATCTTAACATTAGGTAATACATCAAACTTTGATTTCTTTTTTATTAATCTATTTAATCTAAAACGTCGTTATTTAAATAATTAATGTACCCGATTAATTATAATTATACTCATTTATTTTTGTATTATTGATCTTATGTACCCCACCTTTACCTTTAGGTTTCTACCTCAATTATATTGTATATTACGTTATTATATAAATTGTATTATTAACCTGTACTTGAGTCTAATAGGCGTTTATTCAAATAAATAAATAAATTTATTAAATCTAGGATAAAAAAAATAATAATGTGAAAATTGTACCTTATTCATTATAAAATTCTCACATCTACATAAATACCAAATACGTATTAACCGTGTTACAGAATAAGCTGCATAATTGAATGTTTTGAAAACTTGGATCATATTCTTATGTTCCCATAACACAATTGTAATTTCAAACATAAATCCATAAACTGTTAATAATGTTCGGAAACTACAATCCAGTAAGCACATCATTATTGGTATTTGAAACATAGAGTTGTAATGTCTATACATCATCATACAAGATCGGTGGACAATTCGTATGTTTTCTATATCGGGTTCACTGAATGCAGGTATACCAATACTTGTATGACCTCCAGCGGCCGGAGAGACCCAATATTTCCAACGAGGCACTCTTGCCTTGTTAACTAAAGTCTTAATATCTTGGTTTACTTTTTTAAGACGAATGTATGTAATAAAACACAAAATGTAATAAAACTGTTCCGTTGTAAAACACAATATATTTGACACAGGCAAAAAAAGCCAGGTAATTATCTCATCAACAGAGAACCTATTAATTGAAAATGAAAAAAGCAATTTTCCAAGACAATTAAAGAGTTATCCAGTCAAAGATATGAAAAATTGACAACTTTTCGTTAAACTAAAATATTTAAACATATAAATAAGTCTAAGAATGTAAAATAATTATTCGAAATGTTGATTAAATTTGAAGAATTAGAAGAGAAGAAACTAATTGACAAAGTTTTGAAACACACTATATCTAAAAAAATTAAACTATAATTCATAAATGATACACCTATTAATTCTTTAATAGGAATTAGTAAATTGGTATTTCTTTTGGACACAGGCAAATAATTTTAAGGTAAAAATCAAAATATGAATTAGTTAACCGTGGCGGCGGAAGGGCAGGGCAGAAGGGACAGCTACCCAAGGCCCCACCCTCTTCATGAGATTTAATGACTTGTATGCGGAGTATGCCTAAAATCTTGTTTTAAAATTAAATAAAAAGTGTCGTTTTCCTATAAATTTTTTTTGGTATTTTAATCTTTAACTTCAACATTATTTTTAGTAGGTCATATTTATCATATTTAGTTTAGTTATCATATTGTTAACAATATGATATCCATACTAAGAAATAATCAATAGAGAAATTTTGGATTGCCTGCATTATTGTTTATTTATAGTACAAAAATTATTACTCCTTATCTTGTATGCGCTCACATGCAATTTATTGTAGGTAGTTGATTTTACTGTCACTAGACACATTATTTCTATATAATTGTTATTGTCGATATTTGTTTTTCATTTTACGACTTCTCATTTCAAAATCTAAATGTTTGGCCGTGACCGTGATATATTAAACAAATATATTTGTGGAGCTGAAAAAAGAAAAAAACAGAAAAAATATTTACAAAAAAAAGAATGTGGGAATTTTGATAAATATGTATGTTGACTAAACAAAATTAACGAGGAACAAAATGCTTTGACTTCCCAATTAGATGATACCGTTAATGATCTAAATGTAAAAAATAATTCAACTGAAAATAAATTAAACTCTGAATCCGAAAATATTGATACAAGTACAATATTTGACTTCAATGACCCTGCAAATTGGCCAGATCATTTTAGTAATGAATTACTTATATAAGGCTGATATTGTTAAATATGGAACTATTAAAATAATTAAATACAACTTTCCGTATAATGATAATAAATCTTATCCAAGATTTTTACAAAACAATATTATACTCGTAATATGCCTAATGAAGAAGTTGTAGACCGCCAGTGGCTTATGTACTCAAAATTAAAAGATCGAGTGTTTTGTTTTTGTTGCGTACTATTTAGTCAAAGAAAATCAGAAAGTAATTTAGCCAATATTAAGGAAGGTGTTAACAACTGGAAGAATTTGTCGCAAAATCTTTTATAACATGAACGTTCTAAGGCTAATAATTTAACTTTAAAGCAATGGTTTGACTTAAAAATAAGATTAAAGTCATTGACTACTATAGATCAACAACATTGGGCTCAAATAGAAAAAGAAAAAAAACATTGGAAAGCTATGCTTTAGCGAATTTTATGTATAATTCAGTACTTGGCTAAGCATAATAATGGGTTTCGTGGGAAATCAGATATGATATTTACAAAAAATAATGGTAAGCTTTTAGGTTTGATTGAAATGTTATCCAAATTTGACTCGGTTACAATAGAACATGTACGACGCATTAAAAATGAAGAGATACATACTACTCAGAACACAATATTCAGGATAAGTTCATTAACTTGATGGCTAATGAGGTTAAAAAAAATAATAATAAAAGAAATTCAACAATGATACTAGCCGCAAAGAGCAATGATCTATAATAAAACGCGTAGTAAATATGAACGAAAATTATGATTTTAATGAACCTAAAATAAAAGAATATTTTTTAGATTTTATAATTGTTGAATCAACTATTGAACTAAATCTTGCAAATATCGTTTTGAACAATCTGGATGAATTTGGTATACAAATATCGAACTGTAGGGGTCAAAATTATGATAATGAGGCAAACATGACTGATCAGTATCAAGGTGTTCTTTTAATCACTTTTAACTTGGTTAACCATGGAACACTCATAGTTTACATACGATAATGTTTCTAATTTTTTTAATAAAGATTAGAGATAATAATTTCTGTATAAAGCTTGTTAAACATTATTATTATCCATGGAAAAGAAATCGCATACTGATATCAGTAAATAAAGTAATAAGTGTTAACTTCTGTACTTAACATAATATGAACTAATATTTGATACCATAGGAAAATTGTAAAAAAAATCAAAATTTAACAAACTTCAAAATGCTATATGAACGTAACTACTGAATTAAAATAAGAGTTTTCGGTATAAAAATCTTAAAATCTTAAAAAAAGTTTAATAAAAAAATTAGTTTTTAAAATATTTTTTGTAATTGCGAAAAATAATATGAAACATATTTTAACAAATTAAAAATAATAAAAAACTACTTAAGGAGTACCTTATCACAGTGTAAGCTTACAAGCCTAGCTACTCTGTCAATTGAACAAGAAATTGCTGACTTATTAGATTTTAATGAGCTGACTGACATTCTTGCTACAACCAATGCCAGAAAAAAACTATTTTGATGTTATAAAATTCATTTTTTTTTTTTTATTATTCAACTTTTATAAAGCGTAAACTTTTTATATGTAAATATTTTATTTTAATATGAAAATTTTATCTATACAGAAATAAATAAATATATATTTAGAGAGTTTATGTTTAATAATTTGTTTCATTTTATGCCTAAGAAAAATGTTTTTACATTAGTTATGTGAAATAGAAAAAAATGTTTTATAAGTACTTAAACGTCACAAAAAAATTTGTTTTTGCTTCGCGAAAAAAATGTCTAGGGCTCCTTGAAATAATCTGCCCCGGGCCTCGCAAAACCTCCCGCCGGCGCTGTTAGTTAATTTTGTACACTTACTACTTAGTGTCGTACTTTCTCTTTTTAGTTAAAGATTACTCAACTAATTATAAATATTAATGATTATCATTTAACTACTTAAAATCATATTAATTGACTGGATTACTCTTTATCATATGCATGCGTACAGAGATAGCAAAGGAAGTTTTGTACCAATCTAGTTTCATTAGTTAGAATTGATATTGATAAATAAAATTTTCCTACTTAAGAAATCTGTAGTACTCGGGTAAAATAAAAATTAAAAAAATGAGTTTTAAAATACATGGACTTAGTTGAGCATCAAAATATTTATAAATAAATAATTTATATGTTATATGTTTATTATATTATTTATATATATTATATATATTATATTATACATTGGTATCTTTTGTTAATTAAATCAGTTGCATACTAGACATCCATGTGTTGATTTATTCGTTTCACTTTAGCCCGTAAATATAAATGGTGACAAGTGGATTTTTTTTGTGTGCTGCGTTTGAAATGTCAAATTAAAACAGATATCAATGTCGGTATAGCAAATTTTATTTCGGCATTCAAGCAAGAGCGGGAGCCGTTTAAAAATTATTTAGACCGGTTAGAAGCACAGTTAACTGTACTAAAAGTCAAAGAGGCAGATAAGGCAAATTATTTGATTGCATATATTGGTCCTGAAACGTATTATCATTTGAAAGTATCGTGTTTGTCGGACGAACCGGGTGATAAAGTGTATGATGAATTAATTATTATCCTTGAAGGAATTTTTTCTCCGAGTCGATTAGTGGTGAGTGTACGATCTAAATTTAATCAACGTATTCAACGAGCAGGTGAATCTATCCAGGAATTTATCGTTAGTTTAAAAAATTTAGTAAACTTTTGTGAATTCGACACCTTTTTAAACGATTCGTTGCGGGATCGTCTTATTGTTGGTCTGAATGATAAATCAATACAACGCAAATTACTTGGCGAGAAGACATTAAAGTTTGAAAATTCGCCCTAAATTCTGAATTAGTTGTTAATCATACTAGTCAAATAAATCAGTCTTATTCGCAAATTAATGCGGTTACTAAATCATACATGGAATTTAAGAAAAACACAAATAATATCACGACGGTGTTTAATAAATATATAAACAAGTTCCAAGGGAAAACTAGTAAATTTAGTAGTCGAGGTGGTACGTCAAATCAAAATTACGCCAGGCAACAGTTGCAGAATTAGTCATCTCAAGGTAATAGTCAATCAGGCAGTGTTTTCGATGTGGGAGAAATCATGATCATCATACATGCCCAGCAAAAGAGTGGAAAAGTTTTGCATGTGGGGCCTTGGGTCATACCTTAAATTCAACAATTTTTAAAGTCAAAACAAAGGGTAAATGTATTAATTTTATTGAATCCGGTGGCTGATATTAATAATGTAAATGTAAGTTTTTTGAGCTGTGAGCCTAGTCATAAATAATAAAATTAATGGGGTTTTATTAAATTTTGAAATAGATAGTGGCGCGTATGTTACTATTATTCCAAAAAAGTGTTTATGCAAAAGTTAAAAAATAAAATATGTCTGGAGCTGAAACCGATACATTTAAATTCTGTTAATAATACTGAAATAGAAGTGTTAGGTCAATCCTTATTTGATGTAGAGTTGGCAGGTAAAGTGGTAAAACTCAATTTAATTGTGACTAATGGCAGTGTTAATGTGTTTATTAGGTAGGAATTGGTTAAATATACTTTCTCCTGATTGGAGGAAAATATCCATTAATGTAACGAGTGAGGTAAATCAAGGAGAAAATCAGTTACTTATAAGCAGAATAGAAGATAAAAATAAAATTGTTGATGAAATTAAAAGAAATTTTCCGTAGTATTCTTAGTAGTAACAATATGGATGGTAGTATTATTGGGTATGAAGTAAATTTAACTTTAAAAGATAACTGTGTTTCAAGATTTCATAGAGTATATCAATTACCATATACGCTTAGATCAAAAGTAGAAGATGAATTAAGCCGTTTAGAACACAAAAATATAATTTCTAAAGTAGTAAAAAGTGAGTGGGCATCACCCATAGTAGTAGTACCAAAAAATAATGGTAAGACTCGTATTTGTGTTGAATTTAAGCTTATTGTAAATCCAGCTTTAAAAATGAACAAACACCCACTTCATAGAGTTGATGAGCTATTCAATGAGTTATGCAATTGTAAAGTATTTACAATGGTGCATCTATCTGATGCTTATTTGCAGCTAAAAGTTGCACCTGGTAGTCGAGTGATGTTAACGAATAACACATATAAAGGCTTGTATCAATATAATAGGTTATGCTATGGTATGCGTCAGCAATTTCAAGCAACAATGGAAAATTTATTATTAGGTATTCCTAACGTACAAGTATATTTGGACAATATCATTATCGGAGGTAATAATGAACAAAATTGTCGTGAAACGGTAAACAAAGTATTTCAGCGGTTGAATGCACATTGAGTAAAAGTTAATTTACTTATGTGGAATTTTTAGGTCATATTATAGATGGAGATGGTATTCACCTAGGTAAAAATAAATTAGATACAATAATGAACGCACCTAAACCTAGTGAGATAGCGCAATTAAAGTTTTTTTTAGGGTAAATAAATTATTATAAGTTCATTCCAATGTCCACAACTTTGTTATATGAATTGACAAAAATTAATACTAGTTGGAAATGGTCAACAGAATGTGAAGAAGCATTTCACCAGGCTAAAGTAGCTTTATGTAATAGTCAGTTGTTAGTTCCATTTAACCCAAAATTTCCCATAGTTTTAACCACCAATAGTAGTAGTTCTAGAGTTGGTGCAGTAATTAGTCACATAATCGATAATGAAGAGAAACCGCTATTGTTTGCGTCAAACACGCTATCCATAAGTCAAAAAAATTTTCACAAATTGAACGTGAAGCGCTAGCAATAATTTTTGGCGTAAAAAAGTTTCATAAATATTTGTTTGGTTTAGATTTTATTTTGGTAACTGATCATCAACCATTAAAAACAATTTTTAATCCATCAAAAAATATTCCGGTAGTATCAACATTAAGGTTACAACGATGGGCAATAATTTTATCTAGTTATCGATGTATAATACAATATAAAAAAGGTATACAGATCAGTCACGTGGATGCGTTATCCAGGTTACCAGTATCAGATAAAACTGAAGTGATATCCGAAAATTTATCTTTTTTGGAAGAACTGCCACTATCATATAAAAAGTTGGCGAGGAAACAAAAAAAGATGAGGTATTAAAAGAGTATGTAATTATATTGTTTCAAGTTGCCCAGTAAAAATAAAAGACCAAGTTCTTCTATCGTATTTTCGTCGACGGAATGAGTTATTGGTCGATAAAGATTGCATTATTGTAGGTTGTAGATTGGTAATACCTAAGAGCATTCAACTGCATGTGTTAAATATACTACACGAGGGTCATCCCGGTATATTACGCACGAACATGTTGGCTAGGTCACATGTGTGGTGAGATACATTATGTAATGATATAGAACGTTTTAGTAAAGAGTATAGTGAATGTTAAATAAATCAAAACGATAAAGCTAAAAATGATAAGGTATATGTTAGTTGCCCAAAGTCGATTATAGCTTGGGAAAGAGTTCAATCGATTTCTTTAAAATTAATAAAGTTAAAATATTGTTATTAGTTGATGATTATAGCAAATGGATTGAATGTTGGGTTATGAATCTTACAAATGCTAGTAAAGTAATCGAATTTTTAAATAGTTGTTTTCATCGATTTGGGTTTGCAAAAACAATGGTTTGCGATAATGGTCTTCCTATTAGCTCAGCTAAATTTTATGATTTTTGTGAAGGAAATAATATTGATATTATTCATGCACCTCCATACAAACCTGAATCAAATGGGTTAGCAGAACGAGGTGTTCAAACAGTAAAATAAGGGTAGGTAAAAATAATCAGCCGGATAAAAAATAATAAAATAATTCAAAGAAAAATCGATAAGTTACTATTCTCTTATTGAAACACACTGTCAACGAATACTGGTTATACTTCATTGGAATTGATGTTTAGTGATGAACCTAAAATTCGTTTATCTATACTTAAGCCACCCATTAAGTGTAATAATAATACAGTAGGCGTTATGTCTCCTGTTGTAGATAAGTTTGTAGAGGATGATAAAATTTGATTTAAAATAATCAAAAAGATCAAAAGTGGTTAATTGGCAAAATAGTAAAAGTATTAGGATCACGTTAGTATTAAGTTGGAGGTAAACATAAAATAATTCATGTAAATAAAATTAAGCACAGTTAGCTCTAAGAGACTTAGAGCTAACAACTCTAACTTAGAGCTTTTCTACATAGAGTAGAAAAAAAAATGTTTAAAAATAAATAAATAAAAATAATAGTAATTATTATACAGCTATACATATTAAATTAACATTAATTCATTGATTGTTTTTTTTTGTTGTATACTTACTTAAAACATTTGTATTGAGAGTATTTCAATATGTAACTTATCGTGTTTTATTATTATTATTGTTAGTTTTGTATTTAATTATTGTTTTGTAAAAGATGATATGTATTTGAACCAGTTATAGTCGGGATTGTTATCGCTACTTGGTGGTATCTTTTGTTAATTAAACCAGTTATATACTAGACACCCATGAGTTGACTTATTAGTGTCACCTCAGCCCGTAAATATAAATAATATTTAAAAAAAATTAGTACAGAGGGGTCGAAGCATAGTTGGGACCACATATGGATTGACATTTGACAGTGATCAACATTCATGACTATCAAAACGCTTCAATGCGAATTTGTTAAAATTCTAATCAAAGCCGTTAATTTTTATAAAAAAATGTCATAAGTATGTTATTATACATCGTATATTTTATTTACTTAGAATTGTAGAAAATAAATAAAAATTGATTTTAAAATTATTAATTTTAAATGTGTCCAATTCAAAAATTCTTTCTATAATTGGGTTTTTAATTGAATTTTCATAAAAAAACATATCAAAAGAAAGTTTATAGTCCTTAGTATATTTGATAAAAATTTTATCACAGTAAAAATATCGAAACTAAAAATTGTGGCCACTTAAATAAAATTAGCTTCTCATTTTTTGAGAGATAAAGATACCATCGATCATTATTCTGTAAATGTTAGCTATTGCATAAGTTCGTCAAATTGTTTAAGTTCTTACAACTAAACTACATTATTTTCGTAAACACAAGGTATAGTAAATTTTGAAATATTGAATATATTGTTTCATAAATCATTTACCTAATTAGCAGAAATTTATAAGTAAAAATTTAAAGTCTAAAATGTGAGTCGTCTTAAGGCTTTGCTATCCCTGTTCTAAATTTATACGCATGCTTAAGCGGTTTTGGAATGTATATTATATAAATACCATTGTATAATTATTGTGATGTACAATGCAATTTCTATAATGACGCTCATGGCAACAGTAAATGCAGTCAAATATTGTGAAATACCTGAAATGTCACATGAGATACTGAAGAAACAATCATTAATAATACGATAAACGCCTGGTCTTATAAAATGTAGTTGACAAACAATATTAGCAATAATTGTGGTGGTTACCATATGAGGATATAATTCTTGAATAGATAATACATGGTATGTGTACAGCGTGGTCCTGCCTTTTTGAAAATGTTCGTGCATATTTGCCCACATAATTTTGGACATTATAATGATAAGAACAGCGGATACAAATTTGATAACCATACCAATCCAATGAAAACGAAACCGATTATTATGTTCAATACAAGGAAAAATTCCAAATATGAAACTACAGACTTGTAATGGCTTGAAAAGTTTCATTTTTTTTTACGGAAAACAAACTTTTGCTTTAATTAATATAAGATCTTTTTACATTATAATTTGTTCAAATTTACACTAATACATTTTATCATATTAGTTCAATTTTAATAAAAAATTATATATTGACTATGTAATTAAATATTTAAGTATTATTATAAAGTTCACTGAAAACTATGATATTAAATACTAAACTGAAAAGCACTCAACCCTTACAAAGTAATTAATTTATGATAATTTAATAATCAGTTTTCTTTGAAATGACACACTTTCTATTAATGTCTGATTGTTCACAGCATATATTTTTATAATTGATTACAGCGTATAATCAGTTTTTTCAATTGTTATAGACGCAATAAAAAAAATGAAGGATATAAGAGCTATATTAATAATTAAAACTTCCAATTCAAATATTAAGTAAAAATTAGTAAATATTATTATTAACTGTTAAATAATGAACAAAGTAAAATACTAAAATATATTGCTTAAATAGAATTGAATTAGGTGGGCGGTTTTAATGACCTGAATTTTATGTTTTAAATACTTGTGGAAAATTAAATATAAAATATTTAAGACATTGGACCATTAATGCTCAAGTATAAGTTTCAAAGTTTTAAAATTGATGAAATATTTTTCTAATAATACGATATTTTATGTTATATATTCAATTATTATAAAATTGTAATTAAATAATAATTTTTTTTTCAACTTCTTTTACCCAACCTTTAATAAGAACAATATATAAGAATAAAAAATTGTTATTATTGATTTATAATTGTTTTTTCATTAACAATAATTGTAATTAGTTATGACGGTATTATACAAAAGTTAATGTAATGTACTAAATAATTTATATAATAAACAGTAAGTCAAATTTTTAGAATAATTATGCAAAATAATGTATAAAAAACCCAGCAGAGGGGGGTCGCGGCACAATGGTGACGTGACATAGTTGGATCAAGTATAATGATATCTGACATTGATTAAAATCACTATCATAAAAAACGCTTCGATGCAAATCTTTAGATAGTGTTTAATTTTAAAAAATTGGTGGATTATTCCAAAAGCTACATGATCTGCTATTTCTTTATTAATATCCTGAATGAAAAAGGGATTATTAAAAAATATTATAGTCCGAAATTTTTTTTTTTCATGATAAAGTATATTACATTAGCTTTTTGTGAAAAAGTTGTCATTTTAAATCCCCCCCTGTGGGCAGGTAAAAGGTTAAATTTATGAAAAAAATATACCAAATGATAGGTAAAGACATCAAGCATCTATAATAAAAAATTATATTAATTCGTTCATTTTTAAAAAAGTTATGACAGTTTTAAGAAAAAAAATTGGATAAATGTCGAAAGTTATCAATTTTTGAGGGTAATGTCTTTGACTAGATACGATTTGTGATCTTTTGACATATCGTTGAAAGAAATCGATTCGATGATAGCTGAGAAAAAGTGGTAACAGACAAAAAAAACCACATCATAGTAAAACCAATAACTTACATCTATTATTATTTTAGTCTAACTCTTTTTCATTAATATTAAAAAGTAAGGCCTGATAAAGAAAATATTATTTCTGTAAATTTTTAAGAGAGCAAAAATTCTAAACTTTTATCCTTTTTATAATAGAAAAATATATAGAGACTTTAAAATTTAATATTTTTCATTGATTGGATATCATAATTGGCACAACTGCTGTTGGGTTATCAAATCCAACCTAAAATAAAAATATACAAAAATGGTTTACCACTATTTTATTTATATTTTTACATAGTCTGAGTATGTAAAATATACGTGATGAATCATTAAGCAAAGATACTCATTTTCTTGAAAACTATTGGAAATGTTTAATTTTCGTACAGAGAAAAAATGTTTAATTCAATGAATTCTACATTTTTATATAGTTAAATGTTTGTTTTATTTCCTTTTGAGATAAAAACTCCATGTCTTAAATTTTCTTAATTTGGTACCAATATTTTTAATTTGATAGTATAATAGTGGGTACAGTTACTATTAAATATGTATTAAAATTCTGTAACGGATGATTGGTCCCATTGCATAAATTAAATTATAAAAAGACAATTGTTTGAACATTTTTTTCTATCCTATTATAAAACTAAAAATAAGTGTTCCTTTTAAATAAAATTAAAATTTTTAGTAAAAAATATTGTATAAAATACCTTATAAAGTATTTTACCCTTGAAGGAATGAAAAAAAATATTGAGCAACATATTTCTAATTTTTAAAAATTTTAAATCTTCAAAGTTTTCAAAAAAATTATTTTATTCTTCATAAATTCTCTGTATAGAATAATATTTAACGAATTCATATTATTGATTTGTAACAATGAACACATAATTATGTAGCTACTACTGCAGTCAAACGGTTAATCAGTAGACTAATTTTTGTATAAATGAAGTATATTAATATCAGACAGAGCGCACTGTAAATACCGCGTAGTTTTGAAATATATTTTTAGATTTAAGTTCATTAATATTAATTGATATTGTAAAAATGAATAATAAAACATCGATTAAATAGCAAACTTATAAAAGTGGTAACTTAAGTTTAAATTTTTTTACTTTTAAGTAATTCATACGTATAAATGTACTTTTACATAAAAAGGGACAGAGAGACATAACGTTATGTAAATGTTTATGATATGGGGCTGTAATTAAGATGATTAATTGAACCAAATGACTAATTTAATTAATCATTTCGTTATGTTGATTAAAGATTTACACATACTCCAAATAATATTTTTTAAGATAAAAAATAAAAAGAGTCTAATAATAATTAAATACTAGCTTCAAAAACTAATAATTAAGCAATGTTTTTTTAGAACTTTTCCCTAACATATCATATAATGTATAAGATAGAGAAACTCTCTTAATATGGTGTATATTTTTTTAACTGTAATATTATCATCAAAGTCAGATTAAGGAGAACAATAATGTTTTATATGACCAAAAGGTCTCAAGATTTAAGAGTTTCGAGTTTTCTTAAAAGTTTAAACGACATTTTGATGTTGGGGCTTTAGTTTAATTTTAGAAATAAGCAATGTCTTAATATAGACTGCTTTCATTCTACTCATTTAGAGTTGATATTCTTATATGATAGTTTGTTATGGACTAAATTATAAGGAATGCAGAAAAAATGATTAAATTACAGAGTAATCTATTAAATACTAACTACACAATTCTGTTAAACACCACTCAAAGTCGATAATTTCAATTAATTAAACACAAATATTACGCACGAAATTCATTGACAAGTATATGTATTTTTACACCAAACCACCATCCAGCAACCTTACGCAGGAAGCGTCGGCGAACAACTAATACCGATAAGCAATATAGGCAATAATCAGTACATAAATTTTAAAGATCGAACAAAATTAAAATTTTAAATCTAATTTCCAACATCCTATAATATTTCACATTAAATTTTTAAATATTTGGAAACTAATTTTATTAAAGGAGAACTTAGAACTCTTAAGCCTTCTTTGAAGTCCGTTTGTGGTGACCATAAAATTGATAATTTCTCTATACTTTAAAAACAACCCTTGCAAAACTAAAAAGACTAGTTTTTGGCAATTTTATACTTTGAACATAATGTCCTTACAAACTTTGTAAGAATATGACACTTACATTCGTTAAATTGTTGTTGTAACATTAAACTTAAATTAAATCTAGGATAAAAAAAATAATAATGTGAAAATTGTACCTTATTCATTATAAAATTTTCACATCTACATAAATACCAAATACGTATTAACCGTGTTACAGAATAAGCTGCATAATTGAATGTTTTGAAAACTTGGATCATATTCTTATGTTCCCATAACACAATTGTAATTTCAAACATAAATCCATAAACTGTTAATAATGTTCGGAAACTACAATCCAGTAAGCACATCATTATTGGTATTTGAAACATAGAGTTGTAATGTCTATACATCATCATACAAGATCGGTGGACAATTCGTATGTTTTCTATATCGGGTTCACTGAATGCAGGTATACCAATACTTGTATGACCTCCAGCGGCCGGAGAGACCCAATATTTCCAACGAGGCACTCTTGCCTTGTTAACTAAAGTCTTAATATCTTGGTTTACTTTTTTAAGACGAATGTATGTAATAAAACACAAAATGTAATAAAACTGTTCCGTTGTAAAACACAATATATTTGACACAGGCACAAAAAACCAAACAAACATGTTTTCTATGTCATGCCTATTGTTTAAAAATAAAAAATTAAATATACCTAATTATAAATATAAAAGAATAAAAACAAGGTCACCCAATCAAAGTGTACAAAATTGGTAATTTTTCATTGATTAGTTATTCATTTAATTTATTATTTAGGTTGTAAACAAATTTAGAATTTCTATTTTTAGAAAATTTTTTTATAATATATAGAGTGATTCTTATATCATGAACCACTTAATTATTGAAAAAAAAAAGTTATGTACAGACGGGTTCCAGAGTAGTGAGGTAGAGGCAATATTTTAAATTAGTATTGATTGATATACAGAGTGTTCAGTAAGTCAGTGATTAAAATTACTGTCGTAAAAAGCTTCAATGCGTATTTGAAAAAAATTAAACCTATCTACCTAAAGTTACATGATTTTTGACTTAGAGCTCGGTTACTCTTAAAGAACTAGTCACTGTAACGTTTTTTATTTTTTAGTCGTATATAACATTAAATTAATTTAATTTAAAATTATGAAAGTGTTCCTATATTATGCAAAAAACTATAAAATCACTCATTACATAAAATATTGTATGATTTTTGGTTTTAATGGTCAATATCTCTCAGAAATTGAGATTTCTGATAATTTTTTTTTTCATTTTCAGGTACATTGTATTATTATGTAGACAGGTTTCTTAAAACATTATCAAAAATTGAAAAGAACAAAATTTTGATATGGTCTTAAAGCCCTCACAGTGATTAAATATTGGATTTAAATAAAAAATATGAAAAATTAATGTCTTAA